TCCGAGAAAGAGTAGAACTGGGACAGAATTATCTCATTCAGTATTTCTCACAAATATTTCAAATATTGATCATTGTTTTTAAATTCCAGTAAAAATGTATACTTTGGGGAGGTTCATCATAAGGAATTGGAATACTGACCTCAGTTTATAGATCCCCCCTCCAATATTTTTAGGTGATTTTTTAATAGAGGGTTTGGGACAGGTATGAAGAGTAGTTCACTTTCATACTCTATGTATGTGCTACTCCACCATGCTCCTGCTGTTTGAATGCATTTCATCAAAAAGGAAGAAACTGAAAATATACTCTATACCAGGCAGAGTGTTAAGTTTCTATGTTACACCTTCTCATCCTTAAAAGATATCACTATAAAATAATCGCTACCAATGTTCTGGTTCATGCTACTAGAATGTGGCAGAGCTTAGATTTGAAACTTTCTTTTGGCACATTGCATGTGTGTGTTAGAGGTGTGTTTTGTTTAGTTTTGCTTTTTCATAAAATGCCATCAGTTTTGGGAGACAAACAAAGGATATTTAGGACTCTCTCAGAAATGGACATCAGGTGACTCAGTCACCGTGGGCTCATAGTGAAAAAATATGAGGGTTGTCAGAATTCCAGGGAAATATTTTAAAATGTTGGGAAAGGATAAGGTTTTGCTTCTTTTATCTGCACAGAAAGACATACCTGTTTGTATATATAGTAATCAGTTTCCCAGATGATAGCTCGGAAACCCTGCAAGTTTGTTTTATGTCTTTGGGTGATGCCTTTGGAATCATGGAAGTCTTTTTATCTTTTTTCCCAGTATATATTACTTTCTTAATGGATTTTACTTTTACTGTAATTTTAAACAGGTAACTTATTAGCAATTCATATAACCTCTTTAGCTAGAATCCAGATCTTCCTCAACCATGCCAAACAAGAAATTCCCCTCATTTTATTCAGAATAGATCCACCATATGATGTTGCACTCTGTCAAGGGGAATGATAGTGTTTACTTAGAGATCACTGAATAAAATACTTTCTGGGAGTTTTTTGTTAAATCCTGGTGCTAAAGAACAAAGGATACTGTTTCTTCAGTTGAGATCACTGACTTTCACACCACTTCTAATAGGGTCAGTAGGCATCTGTTTAGTGACATTGCCTACAAGTCAAGTCAGTATTTTTTGCTTATTTATACAGCTTAAAAGGTATAATTAGGAGATTCTCTTCTTGTATAATTAATGTGCTTTTCCGAAGAATATAATATTTATGGTTGTAAAAGCCCCTGGACAAGCCCTGGCTGGTTTGGCTCAGCAGTTACAGCGTCGACCTGCAGTCCAGAGAGACCTGGGTTCAGTTCCGGCTAAGGGCACGTACCTCGGATGCAGTTTGTCCCCGGTCCTGGTTGGTCGTGCAGGTGGCAGCCACTCGATGTGTCCCTTTCACGTCAATGTTTCTTTCTCTCTCTCCCCCTCCCACTCTATCTGAACAAAAAAATGGAAAAAAATGTCCTCGGGTGAGGGAAAAAAAAAAAAAGCCCTGGAGAGTAGGAAGGTCTAGTCCAAACCGTATACTTTTAGGACCTGTTATGTTTGAAGTGACTATGACTTTTGAACCAAGAATCATTAGAGGAAAATTGAGAAAATATTTTTATATTCTCTGATTTGGAAATTTATAAAAAATGCATGGAAATATACACACAGTTTAAAAGTAATTGTTCTACTTATAATAAAATTGTAATAAAAATAAAATTAACATGTTGTAATGTTATATTTGCCTTTCATTAATAATTGAAGTTGATGCGATGATATACTGTTTATTAAACTTGTTCATATATTAGCAGATTTTAGATTATTGAATAATATTGCAGTTCAAAATGCTTTCAATTAACTTATGAATCTCTAAGAGTTATAATTCAGCATTATGAACCTCAGATTATAGGACTTATTTATGGTAGTGAGACAGAAAATATGTTTATGTTTGAAATACTGATGTGTTCAAGTTAAAACTTCATTTTCTGAAATCCATTTATCCTATAGATATTAATTTTGTATTATATTAGGCATTGGGGATCTCAAAGCAAAGCAGTGATGGTCTTCACTACAAAGAAATACACCCTGATGGTGTGGCTCAGTTGGTTGAGCATCATCTCATGCACCAAAAGATCACCAGTTGGATTCCTGGTCAGGGCACATGCCTGGGTCTTGGGCTCAGTCCTTGGTGGGAGACATGCAGGAGGCAGCCAATCTATGTTAAGCTCTCACATCTATGTTTCTCTCTCTCTCTCTCTTCCTTCCTCTCTCAAACCAATTAAAATATATTTAAAAAATTAAGGTACAATAGTAAGTTAGATAAATAAACAGATGTTTTCTATATAAAATAATACTTCAGAATTCATAAAGGAGTATTACATCTAATGTGGAAAGGGGGGTCAAGGCTGGCATCCTGGAAAGGGTGATGTTATACACATAGGAATATTGCCACATCAGAGTTCCAGGAAGGGCATCTCGAGCAAGTGTACCCACATCTGCAAATACCCAGAAGGTGAAAGTGGACAGAAAATGGAAAGTACAATAAATGCAATTAAAGAATGAAATGTGAGGAGGGGAATAATGAATTTGGAGATGTAGAGAGCATCCAGACCTTAAAGGGTCTCTCTAAAAAATATGGATAATTTCAAACTATAGATATTTTATCTGTCTCTTGCTTAGCTGGAAGCTCTTAGTAGGAAATAAAGAACTTCATTTAAAAGACTATCAGCAAAGTAAAATCTAATAGATTTTATATTCATTCCATTCAATATCTCTTAGAATCTCCATGATGTTTTATTTAAAGAAATTATGCAAACATATGAATAGCTTAAATGGAATATTTGTACCCAACTGAAGCCTGGTCATTTTTATTAAGTACTTAGAAAGAAGAGTAATTATTATAATATGTTTTTTGAATTTTTTAATTAATTTAATTTTTTGATACTTAGTAAAGAGATATGGAACCGAGTCAGTCTTATGTTTTTAAATGCTGATCCAAATGCAAGAAATACTAAAAAAAAAGGTCAAGACATATGTCAATACACATAAATTCTGATTTTCAATAAAAATGATAAATATCTTGACTTTAATGTGTTGAAGGCCATAGGTTCACCACCAGCTTCAAATCATTATAGTTGGTAATTCCCTAATTAGAGCCAAATCTTCACTGGGCATTTGATGGAAGTAAATCTTGCATATAAATGAAAAAATCACAGCTGAGGATGATGTTAATTAAAGCATTATCAAGACTGAAATAATGAAAATAAAGTATTATATTTTGTGTCAACTTTGAAAAATTTAAGCTGGGAGGAAAATGAGATATTTTTAATTTGTGAAAGACTTCAAGATCTATAATATCTTTGTTTATATATTAAGCTTTTTTCACCCAAAGCCTTACAAGCATACTAAAATATATTGGTAGTGGTTCATACTTAGTTTGACTTAAATTCCAATTCAATGAGTACAATTAAAAATCATCCAAAAATCATATAATGTTAAAGTGCTACATTTTCCATTATGTGGAACAAAATATTAGATATATATGAATGCATATCCGGAAGAGAAAATATTTTCCATTTTGGTCACACACTTCTTTAAGGACATGAAACTCTTTTACTTTCTCAATCTTATATCAGTAAAGATGATAAAATGGAGGGCTTGTCATTTTATGTAGTATTCGTAATTGTTTAATTTTGGTTGCAAGAAGCAACAAAATGAAACAGAGCCTCAATCAAGTTGATAGAAGGGGTGTGTACATGATAGGTAAGGTATTAGGTAAAATTTAGAAACAAAGCAAAACAAAAGAGGAAACAAATTGTGACATATTATGAAAACAAGTGAAAATAGCAGTCACCAGAATAGCAAGGTTGACCACACAACTAGGAATCCCCTACGTGGAAACATGTCTGGGCCTTGAGCAGCACAGGTTCTCGGCTCTGCCTTCGTTGAAATCAGTGCGTACCATGCTGGTTATGAGCTGACCCTGTGGTTAGATAAGGCTTATTAGCTTCCTACTCCTGCTTGTACCACTTACTGGCTAAGTGACATCAGGCAAGTTACCTTTGTGCTGAAAATATCCATAGTAATATCAATACTCAGAAGCATTAAAAGACATATAATCTGTATAAAAGTCCTCGGTACATCAGCATTGATGAACTATAGCTGCTGCATTCTCCTCTTCCTTGTTCTTCTCCGTCGTCAGTTCCCTGGTATTAATATGGTTCAGAACTTTTCTATGCTTCTGCTCCTCTGTCTATATTTTTGTTTCAACATTACCAGTTGCGTTAGCTTTCAATCAAATCTTGTCTTCAGCTCATAGTAGTGGTTTTATTGTAAATTTATCTTGCTTGTAACTCCACACTGTAAGCTTTGTGGTTTTGTCGTCTCTGCCTATGGACTTATTATCTCTAAACATCTGAAATCAAATTCCAAGGGGAAGAATACATCCTAATTGTTTATTCTTTGAGTGGAGCTTCTAGTATCAGGTCAGACCTCAGGCTGGTCTGTGATTGTGTTAAGTTCAGGTAAATAACTTGTTGAATCCCATGGTCTAGCTAGTGCTGGCTAAGAGAGGCAGGGGTGGGACATTTTACCCAGAGGGCAATGATCATATCTACCACATGCCTACTACGTCTAAACAAACAGACATGAAAAGTTAAGATTAAACAATTTATCAAGTTATAGAACTAGTATGAGTAGTAAGGTTGGATCTTGCATAATGATTTTGTGTCTCCAACTCAACACTCTTTTGAACAGAGACTTTATTCCTTGCAATGGTGTAACTTTTGCACCATTATAAAATCACTATGCAAAATATTCAATAATTCTGCTACTTACAAACTTTGCAATCCTTAAGTATTAGAATTGTATTATTTATTGTTTTAACATAAATCTAATTGCATTCTATATCTGAAGAACAATGATTTACTTTAAAATGTCTTATTTATAATGGAATCCTATTGACTTGTTCTTTTTCTCTTAACTTTTCCCAGGCTGCTAAGTTGGCTATCACAGTGCAAGTTTTGGAGTCCCAATGGGGGACTCTGGATCAAGACGATCTACCCTGGTCTCTCGGTTGCCAATATTCAGAAGAAGTATTAGCAGAAGACATGATTCTCTTCCTTCTTCACCCTCCTCCAGTAATGCAGTTGGTGTCCACAGTTCCTCCCCTTCCAGCACTAACTCAAGCTCAGGTAGTACAGGTAAACGCAGGAGCATATTTCGTACCCCTTCCATTAGCTTCCACCATAAGAAGAGCAGTGAATCTAAGCAAGAACCTACCAACCAGAACCTTAGTATTTCAAATGGTGCTCAACCTGGTCACAGCAGTATGCAAAAACTGAGTTTGGAAGAACATGTTAAAACCAGAGGGAGACATTCTGTTGGTTTTAGTAGTTCACGAAATAAGAAGATAACGAGATCTCTGACAGAGGATTTTGAAAGGGAAAAGGAGCACTCCACTAATAAGAATGTTTTTATAAATTGTCTAAGTTCTGGCAAAAGTGAGGGGGATGATTCTGGATTCACAGAAGAACAAACCCGCCGTTCTGTTAAGCAGTCAACAAAGAAGCTGCTTACTAAATCCTTTTCATCTCACTATAAATTTTCTAAGCCAGTTCCACAGAGCCAGTCCATTTCATTGGTACAGCAGTCTGAATTCTCATTGGAAATTACACAGTACCAAGAGCGAGAACCTGTATTAGTAAGAGCTTCTCCATCTTGTTCTGTGGATGTAACAGAACGGGCAGGAAGCTCTTTACAATCTCCATTGCTTTCTGCTGATCTTACCACAGCTCAGACACCTTCAGAGTTTTTAGCCTTGACTGAAGATTCGGTGTCCGAAGCAGATGTGTTTTCTAAAAGTGGAAGCATGGCATCCCACTGTGACAACGTTGGCCACAATGATTCTACCTCTCAGATCTCTCCCAATCCTGCTGCTGTCACAAAGGCAACAATAGACCGGATGGGAACTGTTCCCTGTGCAGTTATGTCTCCTGGGAAATACAGGTTAGAAGGACGATGTAGCATTGAATCTAATTCCTTACCAGAAACCTCTGCTGCTAATCAGAAGGAAGTGTTATTGCAAATTGCTGAACTCCCTGTTATGAATGGGAGTGACTCAGAGACTCACCTATCAGCAGATGCTAAAGGAGAAGAGCATATGGTGTTACAAAACGGTGATACAATGTTGGTGACAAGCTCCCCAAGGAAACTTGGATTTTATGAGCAGCATAAAGCAATAGCTGAACGTGTTAAAGGGATCCATCCTGTATCTGATTCAAGGATAATACCTTCTTCTGGTGATCGTCATATTTTTAACAAAACATATGGATATGATGCGAATCCTGTCAAAGGTATGCTGATTTTCTTTGTAAGATAAATATAAATTGTAATCTTATTATAGTCATTCAATGTTCTTATTCCATCTCATTAATTGAAACCACATTTTCCTTAGTTTTTACTCTAATATTCTTTCCTGTTTATAATCTGAAAAAAATTTTCTACTTGATAGCTTACATTTTGCTGAAAATGTAGCTCAGCAGTATTACTCATTTTTCTCAGTTCAGTTATCCAGAATATGACCCTCAGAAGAAAGTGGAAGGAAGAAGAATGTGGCTTTATCTAGAACAAGGACTCTTTTTCAGAGTTTATGTAGAGTCCCAGTGTTCCTTAGTTAATGAAATGGATATATTCCACTACTACTACTACTCTTACTAGTTCTACTATGGCTAATTCTCCAAACACGGAATGATTTTTATGTTCCGTTGACTATTCTGTGCTCTTTGGATACATTAAATCATTTAATCCTCAAGTGATTGAAATCATATGATATATCTAACTAGTCCCTCCATGATTATGACAGTTTCAAACTTTTAAATGCATGAATTAATTGTTCAGTGATATTGTATAGCTTAATATTTTTCACATTAGATATAAGATCAGTTTTATGTATCTGCCTACGTTTTTGTTTTGTTTTCTACTTATTTTGTTTATTCTGCATGTTTATAATTATAAAATAAAATTCTCTGACCCAATAAAACTATGCAATAATTATCCTCAATTATTTTCTTTTAAAAAACTTTTTTAAAATGAAAAGAACATAGGAAAGTACAAAGAAGGAAATAAATTACTCCTATTCTGTCAGAATTACCAAATATTAACATTTTGGCATATTTATTTCTGGACTATTAGCTATAGCTACATTTTTAAAATTATATAAATTGTTTATTTTTGATTGAATTTATTGGGATGACATTGGTTAATGAAACCATATGGGTTTTAAGTGTACATCTTTAAGATGTATCCATAAGATACATCTGCATACTGAATAGCGAGCTCACTACCCAAACTCAAGTCTTTCACTGGCACCATTTATCCTCCTTTTGCTCTCCTCCACCTCCCCCACCCCCCTTTCCCTCTCGGAGTCACCATACTGTTGTCTGTGTCTGTGTGTTTTGTTACTTAATCCCATTACATTTTCCATTCAGCCTACCAAACTACCTTCCCTTACAGCTGTCAGTCTGTTTTCTGTATCTATGAGTCTGTTTCTATTTGTTTTTTGTTGTTGTTCATTAGATTTCACATATAAGTGAAATCATATTATATTTGTCTTTCTCTGACTGGCTTATTTCACTTAGCACAATACTCTGCAGGTCCATCCATGCTGTCACAAATGGAAAGATTCCTTTCTTTTTTATTTTTATATATTTTTTTCTTTATTGATTTTAGAGAGAGAGGAAAGAAGAGGGAGAGAGAGATAGAAACATCATGAGAGAGAACATCGACTGGCTGCCTCTTACATGCCCCCCCATTGGGGATTGGGCCCACAACCTGGGCATGTGCCCCCACCAGGAATCAAACTGGCAACCTCCTGGTGCATAGGTCGACACTCAACCACTGAGCCACATCGGCTGATTTCTTTCTTTTTTATGGCCAAATTATATTCCATTGGTTAAATGTACCACAGCTTTTTTGTTCACTCATCTACTGATGGTCACTTTGGCTTCTTCCAAATCTTGGGTATTGTAAATAACACTGCAATGAACATAGGGGTGCATATATTCTTTCAAATTAGTGTTTTGGGTTTCTTAGGATATATTCCCAGAAGTGGAATTGTTGGGTTATAAGACAGTTCCATTTTTTATTTTTTGAGGAAACTCCATACTGCTTTCCACAGCAAATGCACCAATCTGCAACTCCACCTACAATGCACTAGAGTTTCCTTTTCTCTACATCCTTGCCCATAGTTGTTGTTTGTTATTTATTGATGATAGCAATTCTGACAGGTGTGAGGTTATATCTCATGGTAGTTTTAATTTGCATTTTTCTGATGGTTTGACATTTAGTATCTTTTCATATGTCAATTGGCCATGCGTATGTCCTCTTTGGAGAAGTGTCTATTCAGGCACTTTGCTCATTTTTTAATTGGATTGTTTTCTTGGTGTTGAGTTGTGTAAGTTCTTCATAAATTTTGGAGAGTCACCCGTTATCAGATATATCATTGCTGAATATGTTCTCTCATTCAGTTGGTTGTCTTTTCATTTTGTTGATGGTTTCCTTTGCTATGCAAAAGCTTTTTAGTTTTATGTAGACTCATTTTTTTTTCTTTTGTTTCCCTTGGCTGAGGAAATATATCAGAAAAAGTATTACTATGAGGAATGTCTGAGATGTTATGACATGTTTTTATCTAGGATTTTTATGGTGTTGTGACTTATATTTAAGTCTTTAATCCATTTTGAATTTATTTTTGTGTATGGTATAAGGAGGTGGTCTAGTTTCACCTTTTTATACATATCTGTTCAATTTTCTAACACCATTTATTGAATATACTGTCTTTACCCCATTGTATGATCTTGTCTTCTTTGTCAAATATTAATTGATCATAAAGATGTTGGTTTATTTCTACACTCTGTATTCTGTTCCATTGATCTCTATGCATATTTTTATGCCAGTACCATGCTGTTTTGGTTACTATGGGCTTTTAATATAGTTTGATGTCAAGTAGCATGATACCTCTAGCATTGTGCTTCTTTTACAAGATTGCTGAGGCTATTTGGGGTCTTTTGTGGTTCCATATAAATTTTTAGAATGTTTGTTCTAGATCTGTGTAATATGCCATTAGTATTTTAATAGGAATTGTGTTGTATCTATAGGTTGCTTTGGTTAGCATAGACATATTAATGATGTTAATTCTTCCTATCCATGGATATGGTATATGCTTCCACTTATTTTTATCTTCCTACATTTCTTTTTTCAGTATCTTATAATTTTCTGACTATAGGACTTGTACCTCCTTGGTTAAATCTATTCCTGGGTACATTATTTTTTTTATTGTAATTGTAAATAGGATTGTTTTCTTCATTTCTCTTTCTGATTATTCATTTTTGCTGTATAAAAATGCCACCAGTTTCTGAATATTAATGTTGTGTCCTGCTACTTTACTGAATTCATTTATCAATTCTTACAGGTTTTTGGTTGAGTATTTAGAGTTTTCTATATACACTGTCATGTCTGCAAATTATGACAGTTTTACTTCCTTCTTTGCAGTTTAAATGGATTTTATTTCTTCTTCTTGTATAATTGCTGTGGCCAGTACTATGCTGAATAAGAGTGGTGAAAGCAAACTTTCCTATCTGGTTCCTGATCTTAAGGGAAACATTTGTAGTTTTTCTCCATTAAGTATGGTGTTGGTTGTTAATTTATCATATATGGCCTCTTTGTATTGATGTATGCCCCTCTATTCCCACTTTGCTGAGAGTTTCTATCATAAGTGGGTGCTGGATTTTTTCAAATGATTTTTTATATGATCATGTGACTTTTATCCTTTATTATGTTTATGTGATGTGTCACATTTATTGATTTGCAAATATCATACCATATTTGCATCCTTGGAATAAAGCCCACTTGATCATGGTGTATGATCTTTTTAATGTTTCTAGGAATTTGTCCATTTCACTGCCATTATCCAATTTGTTTGCATATTGTTGTTCATAATATTTTCTTACAAACTTTTGTATTTCTGTGGTGTCAGTTGTTACTTCTCCTCTTCTATTTTTTATTTTATTTATTGGAGTCCTTTATCTTTGTTTCTTGATGAGTCTGGTTAAGTCTTTGTCAATCTTGTTTATTTTTCCAAATAAACAGCTCCTAGTTTCATTGAGCTTTTGTATTATTTAATATCTATGCCTTTTATTTCAGCTCTAATCTCTATTATTTCCTTCCTTCTACTTACTCTGGGCTTTGTTTGTTGTTCTTTTACTAGTTCTTTTAGGTGTAGGGTTATATTGTTTACTTGAGATTTTTTTTGTTTCTGGAGTTAGGCTTGTAATGCTATGAATTTCTCTCTTAGGACTGCTTTTGCTGTGTACCATAGATTTGGGGTTGTTGTGTGTTCATTTTCATTTGTTTCAAGGTAACTTTTGATTTCTTTCTTTGTTTTACTGTTAACCCATTCATTGTTCAGTAACATGTTATTTAGCATACATGTGTTTGAGTGTTTTTTAGTTTTTGATTTTGTTTTTTTGTAACTGATTTCTGGTTTCATACTATTGTGGTCAGAGAAGATTTTTGATATAATTTCAATCTTCTGGAATTTATTAAGACTTATTTTATCTACTAACATGTTGTCTGTCCTAGATAATGTTCCATGTGCATTTGAAAAGAATGTATATTCTGCTACTTTGAGGTAAAATGTTCTTTAATATCACTTCTTGGCCTTTTTTGCTAAGAGCAAGTGAAATGTTTTGTCAATATAAAATAAATCCATGTGATCCAGTGTGTCATTGAAAGTTGTTTTCTTGTTGATTTTTTGTTTGGGAGATCTATCCATTTATGTCAATGTGTTGTTAAAATCCCCTACTTTGATTGTATTACTGTTGATTTTTCCCTTAATGTCCACCAGGATTTTCTTTGTATAATTAGGTGCACCTATGTTGTTTGCACATGTTTCCAAGGCTATATCTTCTTGTTGGATCAATCACTTTGTGTTATGTAATGTCCTTCTTTGTCTCTTTATTATGCCCTTTGTTTTGAAGTCAATTTTGTCTTATGTAAGTATTACTACCCCAGCTTTTTTGTTTCAATTTGCACGGAATATTTTTTTCCATTTCTTCACTTTCAGTCTATATTTATCTTTTGTTCTGAGGTGGGTCTCTTGTAGACAGCATAGACAATAAAACTTCAATATAACAGACTAACATGGACAAGGGAGTGTCCATTAAAGCTGAACATCTATTGTATAATCAAGTACGTTTTCTGAATGCATATGTTAAAAAATTGACAAATTAGTTAGTTTACCTGTTTTTATTTATGTAGACATGTTTGTGTAATTAAAATTATGTATGTATAAAAAGTT